GCGCGCCGCCGCTCACCGTGGGCAGCTGCCGCGACGACCACTGCACCTTGAGGAAGTTGATGTTGTCGCTGCTCTGGCTGTCGTTCTCGGAGCTCTTCTTGAACTCTGCAACGGCCACCGTCAGGCACAAGGACCCCCCGAGACCCCCGGGGACCCTGCGGGTCACCCCAAGGACCCCCAAGGACCCCTGAGACCCCAGAGATCCCGTGAGCCTCCCCAGGGACCCTCCAAGTCACCCCGAGGACCCCCGAGACCCCAGAGATCCTGTGAGACCCTGAGGACCCTCCGAGTCACCCTGGGGACCCTCAAGGACTTCCGAGACCCCAGAGATCCCGTGAGCCCCCCGGGGACCCTGCAAGTCACCTCAGGTCCCCAAGGACCGTGAGACCCCAGAGATCCCATGAGCTCCCCAGGGACCCCCTGAGTCATCCCGGGGACCCCAAGACCCCAGAGATCCATTTGGGAACCCTCCAAGTCACCCCAAGGACGCCCGAGACCCCAGAGACCCTGTGAGCCCCCAGGGACCCTTTGAGTCACCCCAGGGACCCCCAAGGACCCCTGAGCTGCCCCAGTGACCCTCGAGCCCCCCAAGCACCCAGGAACCCTCCAAATCACCCTGGGGACCCCCAAGGACCCCCAAGCTCCCCAGAGACCCCGTGAACCCCCCCCAAGCACCCAGGGACCCTCCGAGCTGCCCTGGGGACCCCCGAGCCACCCAAGGGACCCCTGAGCACCCCAGGGACCCCCGAGCTGCCCCAGGGACCCTCCAAGCTGTCCAGGGGACCTCCAAGCCCCACAAAGATCTTCCAAGTCATCCCAGGGACCCCCAAGCTGCCCGAGGAAACCTGAGACCCCAGAGATTCCATGAGCCCCCTGGGGACCCTCCGAGTCACCCTGGGGACCCCCGAGACCCCCAAGGACCCCTGAGCTGCCCCAGGGACCCGCTGAGTCCCCCAGGGACCCCCAATCTGTCCTAGGGACGCTCCAAGCTCCCCAAAGAGCTTCCAAGTCACCCCGGGGACCCCCGAGTTGCCTGAGGAACCCCCAAGTCCCCCAGGGACATCCAAGATCCCTTGAACCCTCCAAGCTGCCCTGGGGACCCCCAAGGACCCCAAGCCCCCTGGGGACCCCCAAATCCCCCAAGGACCCCTGAGTCATCCTGGGGACCCCCAAGGCACCCCAGGGACCCTCCAAGCTCCCCAAAG